TGGTAAGTTCAAAAAACTGTTTTGAACAGTGGAAAAAGCATCTCAATAGGTGTATTGCATCAAATGGAGAATACTTTGAAGGTGACTGAAGTTTAAACATGTAAAAGATTCATAATTTTTAAAATAAATCCTGGGGTTTTTTTTGCCCCCCCCCCCATACTCAACCCTGATACCACACCAGAGGAGCAAGCAGAGAAAAATCTTTTTTTTTTTTTTTTTTTTTGAGTTGGAGTCTCACTCTGTCGCCCAGACCGGAGTGAAGTGGCCGCTCCCGGCCACTGCAGCCTCGACCTGCTGGGCTCCGGCAATCCTTCTGCCTCAGCCTTCTAAGTAGCCGGAATTACAGGCATGCACTACCACACCCAGCTGATTTTTTGATTTATTGTAGAGATGAGATCTCGCTGCCCAGGCAGGTCTCGAACCCGCGGGCTCAAGCAATCCTCTCACCTCAGCCTCCCAAAGGCGTGGGATTACAGGCTGAGCCACTGAACCCAGCTGAGAAAAATATCTTATAGCTTGGCTTAGGGGCAAGAGAATGGTGAGAACAGGCAGCTACAGGTCCAGTGTGCCTTAGGAGTGGGGCAGTCAGGGCCTAGTTGTTGCAGTGGAAACAAAACAAAATAATGTTTTCCTTGAATGTACTTCTGATCCAAATAACCAGGAAGGGTTTTACAGAATTATTCCCTTAGCCAAATATCCCAGAGAAAAAGGCAAGAGAGAGCTAAATGGATAACAATTCCCTGCCTTGTCATAAGGATAACTCTTCACAGCCACGGTCTCCCTTTTCCCAGCCCATCACTTAACCTCTTTGCGATCAAGTTCAAACTCAATCCAACACAGAGTGTCACTGCAAATTGTTTATTAAAACACAAAGCAATGGACAGTGAAAAACATCCTGATTTTTTACTTTTTGGTGGGAGTGGGGTAGGGCACGGAAAGGGTAGAGACAGATGGAGACAGCCTAGAAGGAAAGCCAACTCTATCCACCCCTACAGCTTCCCCGGCCAGCCAGGTTCAAAGCCCCTTGATTACTTCTCACTGTGCTGCTGTAAATGTGTGATATGGCTACAAACAGTTGGTTTGGCCTCCACAGAGAGAGGATGGGAAACTAGAGTAGGAGCTATAAGGGCTACTAAGAACTTGATGTTTTTTTTCCCCAGTACTTGGTATAGAATAGCCAGGCCCAATGTGTGTGTGTCGGGGGGTGTGGCAGGGAAGCCTGGTTAGGCCAATAACGGTTAAAGAAGCTGCCCTGGGCTCGGAATGGGCAGTTGGTCCTAGTCTGGGAGAACTTCGTGGAAGGAAAAGGTAACATTCCTTAAATCCAAGAAGGGAGCTAAACCAGGGTCAAATTTCTTTTCATTCCCTGGATCATGACACACCAGGGAAGAGAGGAGTCAAGAATGTCTCTCCCTGCCAACTCTCCCCTCCCACCTGGCAACTCAGCTCGACTTTCCCGACAGTTGTCCTTTAAAAGTACGGAAAGCACACTTCAGTTTGTTGTTGTTTTTCTCATACTGAAATAAAGCACTGAAGCTCAAAATAGAAGTGAGAATGGAGTACTGCTTTCCCCAGTGCTATGTGCCCCCACCTCACAAGACTGCCTGGATGTGAGAGGTGCCAAGGCCTTCTCTGCCAACTCAAACAGGCACTACTGTTTCTCTGGCTGCCAGCACAATCTTGGCTCCTTGTTTTTATACTCCTGGGGGGAATTCATACCAAGAGACCCATCCTGATCTTTTTCTGCCAATCCAGCTAGTCCCCTAATCACCTGCTCTTATCTAGATGATTTGGTCACCCAAAGCAAGCTAGACAAAAGGCAGCTCAGGAGAACAAACCAGACTAGCAGCAAGCCACACATGTGCAAAGAAGAAACCTGCCCTCACTGGGCAGCTGACCCACTGGTACCAATCTAGTCTTAAGACAAAATGAGGAAATCTAGCCCTCATGACCCAGAGAGGTCTAAAAACAGAAAGTCTTAGCTCTGACTGAAAGGGAAAAATTGCTCTGATGTCTCTGAAGCTTGAACATTAAGGCTTCTTTGCAATTTTCTTAGAGCTCTTTGATCCTTAATTATATCGTTCCATAGAAGAGTAGTAGATTTCTTCTGAGATTTCTCAACAGATTCTGGATGTTTCTAGTTCTGCTTCAGTGCACTATTTCTTAGCCTTACCCCAGACTCCTTCCTCGGGGGCCACAGCAGGAGGCTCAAAGCATACCTTCCCACCCTGCCTTTTTTAAAAAACAGGAGCATCTAATAGTCTCTCACTTTGAAAAGCTCACCTGTTCTCCTAGGTTCTTCTGCAGAGGCACGGAGAACAATATTACCTGTTGCCACTTGAGGCCATTGAGGGTCCTCAAGGCAAAAATACACTTGAATTATGTCAGAGTAGGCCAGCAAAGGGGAGAGGAGGAAGGGATGAGAAAGCAGCCCCATGGCAGGGACAGTAGGACCCCTGCTCAGACCTGAATCTAGAGGGAATGCCCACCCTGGCTCAGAGCAGGAGAGGAAAAGGCACTGTGCTGACCGGGGTGGGTCCTTCCCCAACCCCCAGGGAGGGTAGAGAACCTGCTGATTCTTTCCCTGGGCTTTCTAAGGTGAGCTGATTTCTAGGAAAAGGGATGTTAGCGCTAGGAAAAGGAAAATACTGCTGCTGTTTTCTGAAGTTCTCAGCTGAGATTCTAGAAGCCATGGCCAGACCTTTCCAGAAGAGGCTAGACGCTAAGAAGGAAGAGAAATTCCTTAAAACAGAAGCTTCTCCCAAAAGATAAAGTTAAACCACAATTCTGAAACTGGACCAAACAGTTCCCAGGCACATAAAGGGGGAGGTAAACTTCACTCAAACTTCACCCCATCTCATCAAAGCCTAAGCACCCTCCAAAGTGATCCCAGTATCTCTTAGGCACTGGGAGCAAGAGAACATGATCACACTCTCAAACATGTGACCCTGCAGGTAGGGGCTAATCTCTAACACCACTGACACTTGAAGATAACTATCTTTCAAGTCACCAGAACTCAGGCTATCCACTGAGCAGCCTCTCCTCAACAGTGGAGATTTTTCAGAAAAACGGACCTGGTTTAGGGGACATGAATCCCACAGATAGTTTCTTGGCACAATGTTTCAGTAAGCATGAAGGAAACCCAAAAACATCTGATTAGAGACTGACTGGCCTCGAACCAAATCAGAGAGTAGACTCTCAACCCATCTCCCCAGCAGACATCTTTGCATCATCCTCCCAAAAACTCAACTGAGGCCAGTTTTGGCAAAAAAAGAAGTTTCACCCTGACTGTCTGCTCTTGTTTCCAGCCAGCTGGGCTCAGTGGGATTTAAAAACCTGGGACACAAGCCAGCCTCGGTGGCTCAGCCTGTAATCCCGTGCCTTTGGGAGGCTGAGGTGAGTGGATTGCCTGAGCCTGCGGGTTCGAGACCTGCCTGGGCAACTTGGCAAGACCTCATCTCTACAATAAATCAAAAATTAGCCGGGCGTGGTAGCGCATGCCTGTAGTTCCAGCTACGTGAAAGGCTGAGGCAGCAGGATTGCTGGAGCTCAGCAGGTCGAGGCTGCGGTGGCCAGGAGCGGCCACTGCACTCCAGTCTGAGCGACAGAGTGAGACTCCAACTCAAAAAAATTTAAAAATTTAAAAAATTTAAAAATAAAAATAAAAACCTGGGACACAGTGTAGGTCCAGTAGAAGAGTCAAGGCCTCTCTTCCCTCCACCTCCTAAATGGCACCCTCATCACCTCCCATGCATTACCTATGGTCAGCCTCTAAAGTCCTAGCACTAACTCAAAATACAGATAGGGGAAAAAACAGTGCAAAAAGCAAAGGATGAACAGAGTAATTTCTGAAACATACAATACAAAAATAAAAATAAAGAGTGCCCCATCCCACCCCTTTAACCTAAACTTCATGTACCTATATCTTGGAGGAGCCAAAAGGAAAAAAAAAAAGCTTTCAAGTTCAGCATCACGGGCCAGCTGTAGCCAGCCCTAGAGAGCTCTTGTTAGCAGGGTGGGCTTGGCTCCAGGGGAGTCTACCCCAGCCTCTACTATACTTCTTCCTGTTTCCTCGCTTCCCCTTTAGTTTTTGTTAGCAATAGAAAGCTGTTCCTTCCTTTTGGACACAACCAGAGAGGAAAGCACCCATCCCTATCCCTGAGCTCAAGGGAAAGGGATGGGCTTGGAAACAGAGGCAGAAGCAAAGCTGCTTGGCTTACAGTACCATTAGGAAATGGTCCCAGGAGTCAGGGTTTCCTTCTGAGACTCTGAGTCACTAAAGGGATGGGCTGAGGTAGAGGCAGGAGATCCTCCTTCCTCAAAGAGACTCAGACAAACAAACAAGGCAAAATGGAGGCAGCAAATCCTCCTTCTTCATCTTGTCTAATCCACTAGCAGTGGCCCATAGCTTTGGGGAATTGTGACGAAACAGGAACCAAAGCCACTGCCAGAAGCCCAATTAGTCAGGATGTCCACTGCCTCAGGCACGTGGTCCCCAAGACCAAGGCTACAGTACCTCATCCTTTAGAAGCAGGGAAGTTTTATAAAGCACTCCAGGAAGTATTCCTCTGATTGCAGCCTCAGACCACAACCATCCAGCTGCCTTATTCAATATCCTAGTACTGAGACCCAAGTCACCACAAAAAGAAAGGGCTACAATGACTAAATGCTGGCCTGGAGTAAGCATTAAGATCCAAAACCCAAGTCATGAGCCTAAGAGATACTTACTTTGTCACATAAAAAGCAATGCAAACATATAGAACTTTTAAAAACATATCTAATAAGGCAAACTCAAAATTAAACACATTCTAGAAAGATAGGCCTGGCCTGAGATTCTATACTGCTCCAGTCCAAGCTGAAGCTCATCCTGCTGTCTCCCATCCACACACTTCCTTTTAGCTTGGCTGGGTCCTCCCTCATTGTTGCCCTAGCTGGAAAATCGGTGACAGTGACCAGAAAGGAAAGGATTAGGGGAGCTTCATTTCCTGCAAAAATTTTTCCAGGGAATTCAAAACAGACACTTAGATGCTAAGGTTATCTTTAGAGCTGCCAGGACTATGGGTGATTGAAAATCCTTCAATCTCATCACACCAAGAACCCGACTGTTACCTGGACAGGGAAATGAAAGGAAGAGTAGGGCGATAAGATCAATATGAAGCATCACTGGGCCAATATCGCCAACCAGTCTAGTTCCTTAGGGCAGCTCTAGGCAAAACTGGTTGAACTGTGACACAGAAGACATAAGAATAAATGAACATCAGATACTAGACATTTTAAACAGTGGTCACTTAGTAGGGCTCAAGTCTCTGAGGTTGCTCTTAAGTTATGCTCACATAAGCCTTTCCTAATCCAAAGACCAGAAGAGACTTTTAAGGTCAAGTGTTCTGTTACTGCAGGCTGGAAAGCATCCCTGCCCCTGGCAGCAAGACCCTACAAAGGGGCCAGTAAAGAACTGCTGGGTCAGGTCCTCCTGGCTGCTGGCTCAGAGATCTAGGGAGGGAGGTACCAACGAGGTGAGGTGGTCAAGGATAAGACATTCAAGCAGAGAGAGCCCCAAATCCCAATGTCTTCTTCCCTTCTTGGCAATAACTTAGCAGGATGGTTGAGAGAGAGAAGAGATTTCAAATGAGCCAGATTAAGGAAAAAACTGAGACAAAATCAAGTCCCCAACAGGCACTGAAATCAAAATGATCTGTTGTGGTAACAAGTCAGAGGCAATTTGAGGACCTGACATAAACTAATTGTCTTGGATACCAGACAGTCCTCTAACTGGCACATGTCAGGGAGATAAGCAATGACAATGCTCAAACACTAAAGGTAAAATCATCACTGAATTAATCCAGAAACGCTTCCAAGTAAGGAAGCATTTGCTTTTCCTTCTTTCTTTAATCCTCCTTTTTAAAAATCATACAAATTATATATCTTCATGCACACGCTCTCTCAACCCTACAACATCTGAAAACTTATCTGGATATAATTTCAGAACAACTCCCAGTGCTGGTCATCTCAGGTAATAATATGACATTTCCCTGCTGTTAATTTCTAACCTAAAAAAATGGAGCTGTAACTCTTCTGAGTTCAGAGTCCTTTCCACTAGGTATACAAATGAGGATCCTTGAATAGGAAGGATCCAATTTACCCTAAGTACCCTCAAAAGGAAAGAGATGGCTGGGGGCCAGCCACAAACAAAGGACTAGAACTGAAGCAGGTGTGGGACTAGGTGGTAGATGAGGGCTGTTCTCTACTTACTCCGCCTCTTTTTATCTCCTTTGATTTTTGCGTTTTGTTTTTGTTTTCATTAATCAGTGTGAAAAATACAGAAACCAAAATCAACATGTTTGGTTTCTTTCCCATCCCCTCAACCCTGTTCAGGATGGTCATTTGTTCTCACAAGCGGCAGAGGCAGAAGAGGGTTGGAATGAAGACTCCAAAGGCCACCAGGATGGGAAACATGAGGCTGCTGTTGTCTGAGGCATAGGGGTTGGGTGTGCGGGGGCCTGACTGCACCCGATTCTTATTGGTCTGTTTTTTGAGATTAGACCCTTCATCATACTCTTCTTCTTCTTCTTCCTCTTCTTTCTTCTCCAATCCTGGATGAGGCTGCAGCTTTGGTACATCTAACACAAGAAAGAAAACACCTGTTAAATTAAACCTACAGCATTTAAGTAAGACCTTTAAGAGTAGCAAATGAGGCCGGGCTCGGTGGCTCAGCCTGTAATCCCAGCACTTTGGGAGGCCGAGGTGAGTGGATTGCCTGAGCCTGCGGGTTTGTGACCTCCCTGGGCAACTTGACAAGACCTCATCTCTACAAGAAATTAAAAAAAAAAAAAAAAAAAAGCCGGGCGTGGTAGTGCGCGCCTGTAGTTCCAGCTCCGTGGAAGGCTGAGGCGGAAGGATCGCTGGAGCCCAGCAGGTCGAGGCTGCGGTGACTAGGAGTAGTCATTGCACTCCAGTCTGGGTGACAGAGTGAGACTCCAACTCAAAAAAAAGAAATGAGTAGCAAATGAGCCACAATAAAGAGACTCTTGTGACTTAACCAGGGTCCACAGGAAGGACTAGAAATAGGAAATATAGCCTCTAGCCTACAGAATAGCAGAGAGATGTGCAAAAACTAGTCTTTAGATTTAACTAAAAAGTAGCACAAGCCCTGCCCACAGGGAAACTCATTATCTTTTCTTCCTGTCCTACTACTTCAGGTTCCCAAGAGGATCAGATTAGACAGGGACAATGACCTGACACCTAAAATGTAACCTTTTCAAAGCCCTCCCCTTCCTTCTTACAAGTCCACATTCTCTTCTGATTCACACAGCAACTGAAGAAAGCAGAACCACAATGTTCTGAGTTCTCAGCACACACTACTCCTCTGTCCTGACTCCTCCTTAGAGACTTGAGCACAGGTCAGTTTGGTGGTAAGACATTCTCTTAGACATCATATCACCATTTAGAGGGGCATCAAGACAACAGGATAAGATCCCCAGCGCATTCAAGATGAGCTGGGAAAAGGCACAAAGGTAGGACAGGAGAGAAACGTCACTAAGACACAAGCTTCCTCTGTAAAAATCATCCTGGGAAGTTGGCAGCCAGGATAACTTAAACCCTGAGAAAGAGATATAGCAAAGAACAAGGAGATATAAACAAAGTTTTGTCCCAGTGTAGTCCAACAATGCTGGAAATCTTTCAGAGCATACCAAATCCTAAAGGACTCCAACTTTTGCTTTTCTTTTCTCGGAAATAGATGTCAAACAAACAGAATAAGGATAAGTTTTAGGTGATTCAAAAAGACTGCAAGGGTCAGGGCACACCAAGAGGTACCATTATTAATCCCAATTTACTGGGAAGTTAAAAGAATCTGAGTCGGGTTCGGTGGTCAAAGCCTGTAGAGTGCTTTGGGAGGCTGAGGTGAGTGGATTTCCTGAGCCCGCGGGTTCGAGACCCACCTGGGCAACTTGGCAAGACCTCATCTCTACAATAAATCAAAAAATCAGCCAGGCATGGTAGCACGTGCCTGTAATTTCGGCTACTTGTAAGGTTGAGGTGGAAGGATCACCGGAGCCCAGTGGGTTGAGGCTGCAGTGGCCGGGAACGCTCCAGTCTGGGCAACAGAGTGAGACTCCAACTCAAAAAAAAGAATCTGTACAAGACTAAACAGCTGATTAAATGGCAGCAACAAGATACGAACATAGACCTTATTCCAAAGCTTGTGGCTAGCACCATCATCCCCTTCTATCTGACTCTGAATTCCCCACAATTTCGCTTTAGGTGTTTTCAAAATAGTGATCAGCTAATTTATTTCCCAAGAGCTTCCTTAACCATATTCTTCAGCCCAAGTCAAAAAAGCAGGTCAAATCAAAACACAACTTACCATCCACTGTCCCAGCCATGATGTAGAGTGCACAGACTTTTGGATTGTCATAGTACCCCTAGGAAATGGGAAACAGTGGTCAACCCCACACAGTAAACATCTTCCCCTGCACCCATTTTTTTGAGCCCTTCCCTAAGCTGTGAAGCAGAATAGGAGTGTTACCTTGACAAATTCAATGTAGAGTTTCCCTGTGAAGGTGGACACCTCTCCTTGGACACTCAGCTTCCCCTTTCTGATGCTCATAGGGATGATTTCATCATGAGCTGTGCTGTGACCAACACGATCAAAAATATCCAAATCCTTCACCACGACATGGCCATTCAATCGTACATCAAATACCTTTCAGGATTAGAAAAGGAGATAATGTCAAAACCATCAGTTTCACATTCCTTCAAGACATCATGCACCTGCCCGGGCTTCAAGTTCAAAAACAGTTTAAGAAACAATGGGTCTAAATATACTCCAGGGTGGCTAGAGTCCTTTACCTGGGCCCATCAAAGCCATGTTCCTTCACTGCCAAGGAAGTTTTATACTGGCCTTAAGGAACCAAGAATACAAACAAAAAGCTCAACGTGGAAAAAAGGGAAATTCACAGGAAAGAATAAATGAAAAAGAATAAGGCTAAAAACAAGATGCTGAAAATCAAGGAGGGATGTAGCCAGGAGAGCCTTAACAGGATCAGTTAGTTGCCAAAAACCTGGATTCTGGCATTGCTTTCTGTCACCAACCCCCAAAGCAAGTACAGCATTATAGGCAGTGAGTGGGACACAGCTTCTCTAGGGGGCAGAAGGGATTTAGCTGATCCTCAAAACTAATCTGTTCTTCCCTTCTGAGGAAATTCTGGATACCCTCTAGCCCCATAGCAGAGCACTGCCAAAGAGTAGCAATGTCCCACTGGTCAACAGAGAGCCTGACCAGGCCTCACCTTCTGCTGGGACTGTGCAAAGTAGACCTCAGCAAATTTCAACACCAGCACGTAGTCCCCCTCTTCCTTGATGGGCACTTCATAGCCAAAGGTTTCCTCATTGTACCGCTCAGTTTGATACAGGATCTGGTCCTCAGGGTTGGAACGCAGGATAGGCAGTTTCATGCCATAGTCTGAGGCTAAGGACAAAGAAAAAAGAAAAAAAGAAAGTACATCAGAGGCAAGATACAAAAGAGGAATGGAGACCCCAGACCACCAGAGGCATTTCCAGGGCAATGCTAATAACCCTAACCATGGAAGGAGCCATTCCCTCTGCACCTGGCTCCAAAAGGAACTCAAACAAAAGCAGGAGCTGGGTTCAGTGGCTCAGCTTGGAATCCCGCACTTTGGGAGGCTGAGGTGAGTGGATTGCCCCTGAGCCCGTGGGTTCAAGACCCGCCTGGGCAACTTGGCAAGACCTCATCTCTACAATAAATAAAAAAAAAACTAGCCGGGCGTGGTAGCACGCGCCTGTAGTTCCAGTTACTTAGAAGGCTGAGGCGGAAGGATTGCCAGAGCCCAGCAGGTTGAGGCTGCGGTGGCCGGGAGCGGC